TGGAAATTACCTGTAATTAATATTTTTCACAGATAAATGATTTTCAATTCACAAAGTAAGATATAAGCTGCAAACCCTGAGAGCTGTCCTACAGTGATAGTGTAGCCACCTGCAAATCAAGGAGTAGATTAGGTTTAGGGCAGTTTTTGTTTGGGGAGATATAAATTATTAACTCACACTCACCATCCTCGTCTTTGCCCTGGAAATTACCTGTAATTAATATTTTTCACAGATAAATGATTTTCAATTCACAAAGTAAGATATAAGCTGCAAACCCTGAGAGCTGTCCTACAGTGATAGTGTAGCCACCTGCAAATCAAGGAGTAGATTAGGTTTAGGGCAGTTTTTGTTTGGGGAGATATAAATTATTAACTCACACTCACCATCCTCGTCTTTGCCCTCTTTGTCCCCTACTGTATGACACAGACAAATTAGTTTGGACCTTCCTTTCCAGCCTAACATGCCAAATGCCTATCCCTATGTTGGGATGGATTAGTCTAGACTAATTTGGATCAGGCACAGCCTCCTTCAGGCCCAAAGGAAGCAAATAACCAGAGCAAGGTCATTATTTATAGCCATGGGTGCTGAAGGAAGCTGAACTGAACGAGGCCATAAGCTGCTTGGTGACAGCTGCTAAAGAATAACCCAAAGAGTAAGATTTAATTTCAACAAGTAGTCTAGCAGCACCTTAAAGACTAACAAGACATGTAGATGGTATCATGAGCTTTTGTGGGCACAACCCACTTCTTCAGATTTCAGTGCTTTTTTGTGATGGTATGGCACCTCCAGTCAGAGCTTATCTGGAAAGAATGGAGTGTACCGGCACCTCTGTAATGAAACTAGCTGACAGGTGGCTGGGTTTTAAAGAGTACCCACACCTTCTTTTTTTTTAACAAAAAAAGCACTGAATGGAGTTAATAAAGGGCCAGTTCCAAAATAAATAGGGAATGAGGGGGAGAAGGAAGAAGGGGGAAAGAAATAGTCAACTAGGGTATGTCTACACTACCACCCTAGTTCGAACTAGGGTGGTTAATGTAGGCATCCAAAGTTGCAAATGAAGCCTGGGATTTAAAGATCCCGGGCTTCATTTGCATCTTGCCAGGCGCCGCCATTTTTAAAGCCCGGTAGTTCGGACTCCGTGCCCGCGGCTACACGCGGCATGAACTAGGTAGTTCGGATTAGGCTCTCTATTCCGAACTACCGGTACACCTCGTTCCACGAGGAGTAACGGTAGTTCGGAATAGAGAGCCTAATCCGAACTACCTAGTTCATGCCGCGTGTAGCCGCGGGCACGGAGTCCGAACTACCGGGCTTTAAAAATGGCGGCGCCTGGCAAGATGCAAATGAAACCCGGGATATTTAAATCACAGGCTTCATTTGCAACTTTGGATGCCTACATTAACCACCCTAGTTCGAACTAGGGTGGTTAATGTAGGCATCCAAAGTTGCAAATGAAGCCTGGGATTTAAAGATCCCGGGCTTCATTTGCAACTTCGGATGCCTACATTAGTCACCCTAGTTCGAACTAGGTGGTAGTGTAGACATACCCCTAGAGTGTTCATGATAGAAGAAGCTGATGGAGAAGGTGCAAATTGTTCTTAAGTATCCATTGTTTGGTTTAAGACATTAGCAAGTGGAAGGTAGTGTGCTAGCCAGATAATGTCTTTGTTCATACTTTTGTGATGGGTCCCAAACCTGTAAAGGAGGTTAAGTTTCCAGGTTTCCCTGTGTATTTGTTTGTGGAATTGGCCTGACACAACACAATGACTTTGAGATCCATTAATGAGTGCCCGAGCAGGTTAAAATGCTCCCCAACATGTTTCTGTGTGTTGCCTTTTTGTCTATCTGATTTATATCCATTAATTCTTTCTCATAGAGACTGTCCAGTTTGGCCAATATACATGGCAGAGGGGCATTACTGGCATTTGATGGCATAGATCACATTGGTGGATGTGCAGTTAAATGATCACCTGATGTGGTGGTTGATGTGGTTGGGTTCAGTGATGAAATCGCTTGAATAGATTTGTGGACAGAGTTGGCACGAGGCTGATTGCAGGGGTGGGTTCATGGATGAGTATGATGGAGCTGTGCTGCGTGGTTACTAGACAGAATTTGTTTGAAACTGGAGCTTCCAATTATCACTTAGGAAAGTGTAAAGTGCCTGGTGCAGATATATGGTCTGTGTCTCACCAATGTCCAGTATTCCCCACCACTTTGTTATGGAAAATGCCCCTACCAGTGGTAGCTCTGTACTCTTATTTTATTGAGGGATATGTAAAAACTGTGCCCATCCAAGCATGGGTGAGATGCAGTGGGTGGAGGCAAAAACAAGTGTGCTATATCAGTGATGCAGGGGTGGGCAATAATGAACATGGAGGGGCATTCCATGGAATTTGGTAAATTGCCATGGGCCATATGTTTTTACTATATTAATGGAGGGGATGTGGGGTCTAGGAGGGAGCTGTGGATGAGAGGTGTTTACCACACGCAGTTCCTGGTCTGTGGCATAGTGGCCAGTTTCTGGCCAATGGGAGCTGTGAGAATGCTGTTGGAGGCATGAGCACAGTACACGGAGACCCACTGCCCCATTTCCCTAAGGGGTGCACAGAGACATCTCCATAGCAGTCTGCTGTTTCCAGGAGTAGTGCGGAGCTGTGATGTGCAGCCATAGAAGTCAGGCAGCTTGCCTGAGCACCCCACTGTTCATGGACTTGACAGAAATGTTAAATGGGATAGATCGGTATTTTGCCCACCCCTGCATTGGTGAATGAATGAGACCTGTGCATTACAATAGAGAGTAACTAAGGAGTTTGGTCAGTGTTAGGCAGATAAAGCAGGGTAAAATGAGGAAATAACAATATGAGTTAGTGCACCTTCACAGGTTCTTAAGTTTAGAAAGGACCTTTATGACCAGCTAGTGTGTTCTCCTGAGTAGCACAAGCCATAGAATTTGACCCCTTAAGTCCTGCATTGGAGCCCTACCACTGGTGTAATCAATGACCACATGCATCTCTGGTCACCCTATCTTGGTTGACATGGATACTGGTAATATGTGATTGTGTAGGGAGTAGATACATAGCATACAAACACTCTAAATTTTCAGTGTGTGGTGGATGGCAGACATGAAACAGATATGCCTTGGGGCAAAGTATTGGAGATGCATTGCCTGAGCTGTGATACTATTGCTAGTATGATAGTTGCAGGATTTGTTATCTGCAAAATTACCATGCTTTGAGCACTTATTATTTAAACAGTGCTTACCATTCAAAAAAACATATTAGACTTGGAAAAGGTACAGGGAGGGGCAACAAAAATTATTAGGCACATAGGCAGAGAATGAACAACTATTCAGCATGGGAAAGACAGCAAAGGGGATGGGATCTGGTAGATGTCTATAAAATCAAAAACAGTGTGGAGAAAGTAAATAAAAAAGTGTTATTGACCCCTTCACACAGCACAAGGGCTACGGATAACCCAGTAGCAACCTGTGGAACTCATTGCCAGGAGTTGTTGTAAAGGCAAAACAGGTATAACAGGTTTCAAAAAGAATTAGGTAAGTTCATGGAAGATAGGGCCATCAATGGCTTTTAGCCGACCCCATGTACTGGATGTCCCTAAGCCTCTGACAGCCAGAGACTGGGACTGTATGACAGGGAATGGAGCTCTCTGTCATTACCCTCTTTTGTTCATTCCCTCTGAAACATCTTGCATTGACCATTGTCTGAAGACAAGATATTGAATTAGACAGACCACAGGTCTGAAGCAGTAAGGCCAGTCTTATGGTCTTATGTACCTTTCTGTATTTTATGCTCTTCAGAAATCCCAGCAGATTTTCTTTATACAAGGTTTATTCTTGAA